TGTAATTATTTTGTAAGATGTTTCGTGGAAAACGAGACCAACTAAATCGACTAACATCAAATTTTAAGATGTTGTCGAACCAAATATTGAACTAAGCTCAAAATACTCATTGTCAAGTTGCAAACCTAATGTTTTTATAATAACTATCGTGAGATATACTAAATTAACTAAAAATCGCAGGTTATTAAGTAAAGGTATAAACACCTACAGTAGGCTGCGCGACATCGCCGCGACAGCGCACGCTGCTTATGAGGAAGAACCCCTCTGTGGTTCGAAACTAGTAGAGCTTTTCTCAGTATATTCACGTGAGTAACCCGCGATTTTTAGTTAATCTATTAGATAATTTCAATTTTTAGCATTGGGATAGCTCATTATACTGGCACCTTCATACCCAGCCTTGCCAATGGATAGACATAGGGGATGGTATACACTTAGGACTAACAATGAAGTCGGTTAAAAATATGATATAGGTATGAGGTATGTATAGAGTAAAACCAAATTCATTTAAATACAACTTTATTTCAAAAAAAGAACACTTTCGCTTATGAAGTACAGACAAAATTAAATGATTCAGTTTCAAAATGAATAAAAAATCTATAATCTAGATTCCTTATTGCATTCGAGACTTATTAGTTTACATGTTAATAATATAAAAATATTATGGCTTATGTTTTGGCTATGACGAACACATTATACTTATTCCTTAGTTTTCTATATTTTTTAGCAATTTTTTTTATTAATATAGCATCTTATTGTGGACTGTTCTACATGCAAGTGCGTAATACAAAATAATATACTCTTGTATAACAAGTAAGATAGAGAAATATGAGGGTCAAAATAAATTGTTTTTATACCACGAAGGAACTATTTAGAAGCTCACGGCTCTGATAGAAAGGGTCTGAAACCTGCACTCTAAAAATCTAGGGCTTATAAAAGGTTGTTAAAATTTTAGCCTCATTGTAGAGGAAGCTAACCAATGGGGCCTACCATATTTTTGCTCACCGATGGCGCTGTATATCTCTCGTTCTTCGTCCAATAGGGATATGAACGCCATTGAACGATATTTGACAACTGCTGTAATTGGACAAAACTCTCTTTCAACGTTTGTGCCATTGGATGCCTAAAAATACAGTAGCCTCCTTGGTCAACTTCATGTTACTATAGATCTTCAAAGTTATGAGAACTTTTTAAATTCTCTGGCTTGGAGATCAAAGAAAATCATAGCAATCTTTCCAGTTTCACCCTCCGTTTTATATTCTTTATTTTTAAACCATGTTACAAATCAGTACATTACAATTAAAATTAAGTGTTAAAGCCCACTATTGACCACTTAAGTTACGAACTCCTTAAACAGTGTGAGTTTATGCATATTTATTTATATTTTAAAGATTAACATGAACACTATGAATACTAATATTGCTAGATAATAATGGTGTAACAATATAAAACATTTGACAACTGCAACTAGGTATATTAATATGTCTCTATAAGAATTGCTATAAGGCATTGTGAACATATAAGTACTATTTAGTATTAATTGTATTGGTAGTTGGTACCTTTACTTATCGTTTTAGACAACAACATACGAATTTTGTAGGTCGTTTATTGAACGGCGCTGTTTAGTAAAGAGGCTAGGCAGCGCGACATCGACGCGACGCTACTCATGAGGTAGATCCCCTCTGTGGTTCGAAACTAGTAGAGCTTTTCTCAGTATTTTCAGGTAACTCGCGATTTTTAGTTAAGAAGCTAGGTCCTTGATTAAACGGCTGAGTTAACAAGGTGGCTGCGATATAATCTACATTACAATGGCTACTTTAACACGATACCTACCATGTTTTAACTCGCAAAAAGATCAACAGGCAATTGAAATAACATCACGCCTTTTATCTTCATAGGCACTTTATAATATAACACCCAATTGTCACTATTTATGTTATGAGTCCCGTTTAACCGAGGGTGAGCCTATTGCCATATACCGGGCACATTCCGAGGCTTCGTCCGTGAGATTGTTTTTTAAAAACCAGTAATACTTTGCCCGGCGGTCGTACTTGCGACTACTCGGTCAACGAGGTAGACAATTGAAATAATTACTTGGAATTTATAATTTCACTTTTGTTTGTGCAATACTTTTCACAGGTAATGTTTTAAGTCCCACCAAATTTTAGGCAGGTATACTATACCATAGTCGCCCCAGACTCCGTGCCACTAAAGACAATTTCCCATATTAAATTCGTATGTTGTTGTCAAAAACGAAGTCATTACGGACGGTAAATAGTCTTATTTAGTATTAAAATATATTGTCTGCAACAGGTAACTTACGCAATAACTATAAAACTCTTGAATTGTACATTAATATTGCTTCCGTTACATCTAGCATGCGTGCCGCGTGGCGAACTTGACCAACATTTGGTTGGCAAAAATACTGTTTATAAACTCTCTTTACAAAAGATCCGTCAGATTACTAGAGACAGGGCCCACTAGGGTATATGACCGGTTGCGTTTAGCATGGCCAAGGTTTGAAGAAGGATCCTACTTCTACGGGGTGAGCTTTTTATCTGTGACAGTCTAACACTCCTCGTCTCGACAATCTAGAAAGCGAATCTGCGACTTCTTGTTTATATTAAAACTCGGTCAACGAGGCAGTCTTAATCAGGAGAAATATTTGTTGTTATTTTAGTATTTTCAACAACCATATTAGTCAAGTTCAATATAACTAACTAATTTGTATTTAGTACTTTCTTGCAACACTCTTTTTATACTTAAAAGTTATAGTATTATTTAATAAACATAGATATGAATTAAGCTGAGAATTGCATCCTAATATTATCATAAATACGAAACTCGAAATTTTTTGTAATAATTAATTTAATAATAATTAAATTAATAAGTTATTAACTCGTCGAGTACCGTCAATATAGACACAATTATAGAACAATAGGTTGCGGTCACCGGTGACCGCTTGGTGTTTGACAGTTTTAATAGCAACATTGTTTAGTCGCGTCAACGAAATAGGTTTATATTCAAGGTCTATGAGATGGTTCTTAAACACATGACCTAACTACAGCTTATGCCATATCTATGCTTACAACAATCTTACAATTTAAATACAAATATATAAAAATCATTTAAAAACCGCATTAACTAATTGATAGCCATAATAATCATTATTTTAAGATTCATAATTATTCCTTGAAGACGGCAGTTGCTGTTAAACCTACCTCTTTTACTTACACTAATTAAAAAAAGGTTCTTATTCAAACTAAAAAAAAAATATGAAAACGTCTATTTTTCTTTGATATTATCTGTGCTTGTTGTCTATGGTTCATTTGAGTTTGACATTTGAAAACAGCGGGATTTTCTTTTTCTTATTGCGTTTTTTGTATTAACTTAATGCATGTTATACCAATGAGGTAGGTAGTCTTTTTGCTATACTTACACTGGATGATTCTGAACAGTAATACAAATGTAACTGGTCTTTTTAAAGTTATTGAAGTTGGATTTTGTAGTTTAAATGCTTAATTTGAATGTTACCTCTTTATTAACTGCGTTTCAGGTGTTGATTTCCATCTGTTGAATAAAAAAATTAAGTACTGTGTACCATATTCTTGATGAATAGGAAAAGAATTAAAAATGAAGTATAAATTGTGTTGAAGAATGGCGTGAAAGAAAAGAAGGTTTAATTTTAGATAATATCTGAGGGGAGATTAGAAGAATATGGGCACTTGTTATACTGAGGGGCCTGTGTGTCTTATGTATTCATAAACGAATTGAGTACTTGCAAACTATACTCGGAATTTTAATTCGATTCCAGATTTGACAATTTCAGTGTTGCAACGTTATGACAAGTACTAAATAGTGATGTTGCGAAATTATTCGATATGGAAATGCAATATTTCTGGATCGATGCTTCTCGTTTATAATTTTACTCTCGTAAACTAAGTATATCATGAAACTAAATATTTCTGAACCGATAATTTAGTTTTGACGATTAATTAACGATCTGAGACTTTTCTTTTATAATTGTGTGTGAAATAAATAAAAAAATGTAATCATGAAGGAACATGACAAATAAAACGGATAGATGTATTATGGTAATAATCTAATTTATAAATTGTCGCCGTCATCGCTATCGCTATCCTGTCACTTTCTGTAACATTTATTATAAAACACACACACTGATTGTTTATCGATTTTTGTGTTCATCACTATACTATTATTATGTGGTATCATTATTTCACAAAATGACAGTAGCTATTGTCAAATCTGGAATCTAATTAAAATTCTGACTATAGT